TAAGATAGATCTAACGAAGAAGAGAGGGTCACGTATCTCTGAACGAACAGTCCAAATCGACACGGGATGAATATTTAAACATTGTGTCTCAAGAAACATTAACCCTAGCCGCACTGCCCTTGCCGGAGAAAAAGAACCAGACATCAGATAAGGAGACCGACCACCGGCCACTGCCACACCAGAGCAACCGCCGACCACCAAAAAAGGTAGAATTTTTCTCTCCCTTATTGGAATTCAATTTTGAGCCTCCTTGTGGTCATATCGGAGCAAAAGGGATAGCGGGTGAGTTAGAAACTGTGGGTAAAGCCCAGCAAAGCCGCCGGGACCAAAACTCTAAACCTTCTCCAATGACCCCCTTTTATTTCTCATTTCACACGATTCTTTGACCGTTATATTTATCATCCATTTATATGCAGGTTAGCCGAAAAAGAAATCCTAGACGTGAAGGAGAACCGGTGGAGCCGCCGCACTCAGAGATCCCCCCTCCCCCAACGGTAAGTTCGATTTTTTAATTTTTTTTTGGCTAACTGAGACTTCCTAACGTATTTTTTCTCAGGAATACGTGTAAAACCGGCTAAAACCGACCAGGCCAAGGCAAACCGCCACCGTGGTGGCAGAGCCGGAGCTAAACACGACAACGTCGCCATGCCAGAACCCTAAAATTGACTGGAAAGAATTTTCAACACCAGTTTTAGATTTTTGGGGTATTTTTGAGTATATGACGAGTATTTTGATTTCAGTAGAAAAAATTTAAAAAAACCTAGGGCCCCATCAGGAGGCGTAGTGGATAGCACAACATTTCGAAACACCAATCCCAATAAGAATTTCTCACTCTATTCTCTATTATAATGAATTAAGACTTAAAAATCAATAATTTTGTGTTTTGTGAAAATTAAAAAAATTCTAATAATAAGTACAGGTCAATAATAGAGCTAGAACTGGTCAATGTACGATTGCCCTAGCTTACTGTTTATTTTCTCCTGTATTGCTTAAAATATTTACTATTTAATTATGTGCATTAAATTGCTAGTTTGAACTGTGTCCTCAGTTATCTACTTTATTTGGTTCCCTTACATTGTTTATTTGTTTATTTAATTATTCGGTTACTCGGTTATCATAAACTATATTGCTTACTTAGATGTCTTTTAGGTTAATCTGTAAATATGTAATGAGGCGTTGGTATGCGATTGGTGTCAGTTGGGACGATGAGGATTTATATATGTGACAATTTACTAGGCACCCTAGGAAAGAATGGATGAGTCCGGTACATAAGGAACTCTACTATGGACATTACTTCAGTCGAACGAGGCTGAGAAGTCCTATACCAGAAGGTTTTGGGAGATATGATTCACCCTCATACCGGACAGGATATCGAGAAGATGGTATATTTGGTGTCCATCACCTGACGGGGTATGGGAACAGCCGGGTTAATTGTCAATCTATATATTGGGTTTAAGAATAGGGGGATATCCTTATGGATATGCAGGGGTCTCAGTAAGTAGGTTAAAAGGAAGAGTTATAGATCTTATGCATGAAATTAAAATATTATCTGGTTACTTGTCTTCATAAGTTGATTTTGAAAAACCCATAACGGTAAGTATGGAATAAACGTTTTAATGTTAAATGTCTTTACTTAAATCAAGGGCTCCACTAGTTATTCTATGATTTTTACCAACCTTCAATTTTTTCTATCAATAATTAGTGTGATATCCTTATTGGAATAATATAATTCACCATTTTATTAACTATTTTATATCAAGAAGACCAAGATCCAAATCCCGATCAGCAAGAGAGTTTTGAGTAGTTCACCTCTCGGACTTCTTTCAAGAATTAGTGGAGGTTAGCTCCTTATGATATTTATTTATTTATTTTTAATTATTTCTTGATTTTTTTTATGAGCCAATATAGAAGGGACATTCTTGTAAGCCTATTGAGCATTCTAATTTACTATGTAACAAATGTAAACATTAACTTATTATTCATTTTCGGATTTAGATAATAAATTTTTTTCTTCTAGTTCGAGCCTTTATAGTTAGTATCAGAGCCACGTTCCTCGGAACCATTCCTTACATACAGACTTAAAAATACTAAATACAAACTATTACTCAACCATTCCTTATAAAATACAGGTACAAGGATATGAGGAGAGGAAGACCCCCACTAAATCGAGCAGGCAGGGATAGGTCGTTTCAAGAGGATGTTTATCGACTATTTGAGATGATGGAGAGACTTATCTCTGCCCAGTAAGTTCGGGAGGAAATAAGGGAGTTGTCTGACCCTCCCCTGCTGCCACAATTTGAGCCATCCTCGCAGTAGAAAGATTTAGAGCTCAAGCAAGCCACCCTGCTCGTTCTAGTCACTTGTGAACAGTTCTTAATGGCCTTCAATGCAGAGTACCTCCCATAACACCTTTGGTATTTGAAGGAACTTGGGTTTATACACCCAGTCTAAGATGATATAACTGTATCAGAGTATACCCGAAAGTTTCAAGAGTTTAGTCGGTATTCTCCCGAGAGTATGATGAATGAAGGAAAAAAGGCAAGGAAGTTCAAGTGGGGCCTCCGTCCTGAGATCAGACAACAGTTGTACGTATTTGAGCTCAACACATACTTAGTCATTCTGGCCAAGACACAACTAGTTGAAAGGAACCCTCGTATCTTTCCTCCAACAGTGAAAAATTTCAGACTCCTGGTTTCACACCGTAGACCAACACCCATTATACCGGTTCAACAAAACAAGAGGTCTAGGCCAGTAATTTAGGCTCCTCCTCAGGCTCTAACAACAGGACGCGGTAGGACTTGCCAAAGACTATGGCAAGGATTATGGGGATCGACCTTACTATCGTCTCAACAATACCTACCACATATGTGGGAGTGCCCAACACTACGTGAGAGAGTGCCCGTGAAATCAGAATTAGGTCAGACCTCCTACCAAGGGCGGAGCTTATAACCTCACCTAGCAGGATGCTGAAGTCAATCCGGACATGATACAAAGTACGTACACTATCTGTAATTACCTTTCACATATTTTTATCGATATTGGTACTTCACATTCGTTTGTCTCACATAATTTTGTAAAAAAATTGAATATATTATCTAAAAAACTTGATTCTGTGCTGCTTGTGTCTACTTCTAAAAGTAGTATACTACTATAAGAGATTATATACAAAGCTTGTGTCGTAGACATAGTAGATAGAAAACTGAGTGTAGACCTGATAGAGATAGATATGGAAGACTTTGATATAATTATGTGAATGAACTAGTTAGCGGCGTATCATGCCACTGTAGATTGCTTCTACAAAAAACTTGTATTCAAGTCTACTAACGAAGAGTCATTTACAAATTAATAAAAGTTTTAAATATTATTTTCTCAAGGCCATTTTCTTATCATATAGTGCTTTAATTCGGTTGTCTTCTCTATATTAGGCAAACCTAAAAAGAAGTTTGTATTCAAGAGCTCCTTATAGTCTAAGACTTCCCAGATGTGTCTTCTAATGAACTACCCAAACTGCCAGTAGGCAGGAAAGTTGAGTTCACCATAGATATTTAGCCTGACACCCAGCTTATCTCAGTTGTCCTTACCACATGAGTCATGTTGATATGGAAGAGTTGAGAAAACAGATCAATGAATTACAAGATAGTGGGTTCATCTGACATAGTGTATCTCCTTAGGGTGTTGGAGTCACATTTGCAAGGAAAGGGGATGGGATGTTGAGATTATGTATTAAATACAGAGAATTAAATAGAGTCACGATCAAGAACAAGTACTTCATCTCTAGAATTTATGACCTTTTTGATTAATTGTAGGGTACCAATGTTTTCTTTAAAATAGACTTTCGTTCGGGTAACCATTAGGTAAAGATCAGGGTACGAATACTATGAGTTTCTAGTCATGTCATTTGTATTAACCAATGCACCAACCATTTTTATAGACTTGATTAACAAAATTTTTAGGTAATTTTTGGACCAGTTCGTCATTGTATTCATTGATGATATCCTAATCTATTCAAAGAATAGAGAGGAACACACTCATCACCAGACTCAGGTTTTACAAGTTCTAAAAAAAAAGTTATATGCAAAACTGAGCAAGTGTGGGTTTTAGCTTGAGCAGACTACCTATCTGGGGTACATAACATCAAATGATGGGGTGTTAGTGAATCCTAAAAAGGTTGAAGTAATACTTGGTTGAAAAAAATTAACTTCAGTTAAGGAAATCTGTAGCTTTCTGGGAATGGCAGAATATTACCGCAGATTTGTGGAATAATTTTCTAGTCTAACTGCTCAATTGACTTGACTTACAAAGAAGAACATCAAGTTTGAGTAGAATGAGAATTGTGAAAAGAGTTTTACAGAATTCAAG